ATATATATATATATATATATATATATATATATATATATATGGAGTTGTTCAAATAAAAACTAGTCCTGATGTGAGAACCGTGTTTGATGCTATTTTTTATTGTGTATGATGCTATTTTTAATATCACATGGTGCTATCATTTTCATAAATGCTAATATAAATTGTGTTGCTATTCTTAAGAAAATAGATCCATTTTAAAAATAGCACTAAAACACAATCAATAATAGCACTACTTACAACTATAAATAGTGGTTCTCACGGTTCTCACGCTAGGATTTGGTTCTCATTTGAACAACATCCTATATATATATATAGAACTAAGTCTTATTGTGAGAACCGTGAGAACCATTATTTTTAATTGTGCGTGGTGCTATGATTGGTTGTGTTTGGTGCTATTATTAACCAGGATAAATTTTATTAAAAATAGCAACACAATTTATATTAGCATTTGTTAAAATTATAGCATCGTCTAATATTAAAAATTGCATCATATACAATTAAAAATAGCATCAAATATTGTTCTCACGGTTCTTACACCAGGATTAGTTTTTATTTGAACCAGCCCCTATATATATATATATGGTAATCAAGCGCAAATTAAGGGGAGACGTTGCAATATTATGGTAACTAACAGTAGGAACTAATCTAATTAAATCTTATGTTTTAGGTAAACACGCAATTATGTTTAGTGGGATTGTAGAATTATAATATTTGTTGAATTGTGTAGTATATGTGTAAATGACCCTAAAAAAAAATCAGACATAAGGAGTAATTTTGTCGGTAGTCTGTTGTCTGAGAGAATTTTGGGATGTCAATAAAACCCGTAGGGTCGGGTTACCCGCGGGTTACCCGCATTTTCGGGTCGAGTAAATCCGATATGATTGGGTTTCGGGTCGGGTTCGGGTAGAATTATGCTACCCGAACCCCGGGTCGGTGTTTAGTAGTATTTTGAGGGTAGTTGGTAACCGAGCTATCCGACCTCGAGTCGTTCTCAAAGGAAGACGATTCGGAGCTTTGTTCACCACTCAATTGTCCAAATCACACAAAATGATAAAATAAAAGCTAAACATGTAATCAATGGGTTAGAGAGTGAATTAATGCTAATCGATGCACAGAATTGAAAGAAGCAAGTAAACTAGAGAATAAAACAATTAACACTACCGGAGTCTCTATGTCATCACAACCGAACGAACTTATCTAAGAAAAATAAGCAAGTCTTAAGCACAAGGTCACTAACCCTAACCTTCTAACCTAAGTGATTAAGCTCTAAATAGAATCCTAACCCTTAATCTAGATAGGCAAGTGATTAATCCCTACTAAAACAAGCAAGAGCAATGATCAAGTCCAAACATTTTCTCCATCATCAAGCAAACACCCAAATTCACCTTGATAATCATCATAAGTAAAAACGAGGTAAAAATCGAA